TGTTAAGTGAGAAGTTCTGATATCCTTACAAGTTCCAGTTCACGATTAATTCACAGGTAGCTGATCACTCTGAAATGTGACCAAGCTTTGAAGGCAGAGGTCAAAAAGGGACTTCTTTCCAACAGCTATTCAGACTTCAATATGGAACAATCTTACAAGCTCCATAAGTTTACTTGAGAGATTACAGCAGCTTCTATGAATAGCTGTATTGTTTTACTCGATACAGACGCTGCAGTACCTGTTCTGTCGAAAGCAGTAAAAGGCCTTTTAAGTGCAATTTCTATTTATCTTCACTGTTTACAATATAAACATTCTAAATGATATGCTCACCACACTGCTATGAGGTACAAAACATCATTTCTATTTGTCAGAAGGTACTAAATGACTTACCTGAATCAAACTGGGGCGGACTGATTGCTGAGACCCTCGCTCCCAAGTTAACTGCTCTTCCCACCCGTACAGAAAAACGCTCAGGATCACTGATGGTTCTGTTTACACTTGCTAGGAGGCAAGAACTTATCACAGAAGGGACAAAATAAATAATTTCTACGCTTCTCAAAAAGTCACAAAACTCCTGAATTTGGTGCTGCTACAAGACTGCCATAAAGAAGGAAACTACAGAGCACTGATTTAGCACCTCTGCCTGATCAAGGGCTGCTCACGCATAACAGCGGAGATGTATGCTCCAAAGGGTTTGTGAACCTTTTTTTGACGTTAACTTTCTCACACCTTCATCACCCTGACTATACCCCCTTCTACCAAAACTTTCATCATGTCCTTTCTTGAATCTCATCTTCCCTCATTAGATTCACAACCACAGTTTAATAAATAGCTTTAAGGGTAACTGCCATCCTCCACCTTGCATAACCAACGATCTAATGAGAAAACGGTATTTCAAATACGTTTCAAATGTATCATGTTTTCTCTAAAATGAAAAAGCCAAACTACAAGAACCAACTTGACACTCAGCTCCAGATCACACCAAAAGGAAATCCTTGTGAGTGAGGAGAGAAATGCACAGAAGAATGTTTAAGTCACAGATACAACTCTGGTGTGCCTTCTGGAGAGCTCCCACAGATAAAGGGAAGACAATCTCCAATCAGCAGTGTAACACAGCCAAAACCCTATAGCTGCAGGGAAGTTGCATTACAGTGTAGCAACAAATCAGCAACTCCTCCAGGCAGAACTAAATCGCAAACATCATATTGAGAAACAAAAATTATTGCTCCTTTCCCTCTACCCTCAGGCCTGTAATTAAAGGAAACTCAAAAGAGATCCTCTTGGTTTCTCTTCCTTGAAAATAGAGTCCTGTTGAGTCTTTCTTCAGTTCCACCAGAAACTCCTCACAGTCTGCCTTGAAAATGGACTCCAGATTCAGAAGACATGGAAACATAGAAGGCAAGGATGTAGAACGCAGTCAAAAATGTTTTGTTTAATTGAACCAACAGAACACTTTGTTAGAGGTATGTGGACCCTAACGATTCTCTTAAGAATTTAAATACTCTGATTATGTGAAAACAGTAGATACTCTTAGAGAAAAGAGCAATTAGCACTGAAAAGTGAGGAGACGCTTTAATCACCACAGAACTTAAAGAACAGCTGCTAATTACTGCCTGTGGGAAAGAAAAGGCTAGCAGGAAGACTAATAACAAAATTAAATACTAAATTTAAGCTCCTTTGCTCTCTGGCGTCCACAAACACAGGGCTTGTGTTTTAGAGGCACCCAAACGGTCTACTTGGACTGCTTTATGAAAATGTCCTCCAGCTGCTGACCTGGCATCTCTGTCCTTCAGCTTGTGACAGGCAGCACTGAATGCCTGGAGGCCTCCTGGGCTCATCCCACTGACCTCCATCAGGACATTCAGAATCCTGAGCAAGTACGTCACATTTTGGAATGCAAATGAGTAGGATCCATAAATCATGGTGGTTCTGCTGCAGAGGACATTTATTATGCAAGACATGCACAGCATGCTTCTGCTTGGTGCTCAAGGGCTTCCAGGAAGGTGGCTCCTGATGGTAAGGCTGCAGCACTGCCTGAAAGCCACAGAGGGCAAATGGGAAAGTTCAGGAAAACTGTTTCACAGCACGGGACTTCTTCCAGGATAAGGTGATTATTTAACCATTTTCCAGAGAGGTTCCAGTAATAGCATACTGCATCACAGCCAGGGATGTACAGTCACTACAGATTTTTTCAGAATTACAGTAAGCTTTGCAGTGACGTTCTGGTAGCTCATTCCAAAGACTTTCCTTGTTGGCATCCAGTCATCCTTGTAATGGCGAGGCAGGCATTGCAAGCGCCCACTGAGAGCAGTGCAGAGCTAACTGCAGAACTGACAGTATATCCTGAGGCCATTTTCTTGCACACAGAGCAACTAACTGTGCAACTGCACGTATACTGGTCTAAACAGTTTTCTGTTGGAGAGGTGTGTTCATAGCAGCACGTCACCAGAAACAGCCGAATGGAAAACCGGCAGCTATTAAGTTTCTGTCACAGAAACTGATGTAGCAATCTAGGTTTTTGACAGAGAACAGTTTTCTAACCCTAATTTTAGAAACAGCATAAATTATTGGTACAGGTTTTCACATTTTTTTTTAAAGCTATTGAAGGAAAAAAGCTTGCCAACCTGAAGACTTGCCCACTGCTTTCCTCTCTTCCACTGCATGAGCTGATCCAACAACAGATCAGCAGCCACCCTTCATCAAGCATGTCTTCCCTTCACATCCTTTGTGACAGCAGTATTTGGTTTAAGTTTGCACTGTACTGCACCACCATTTCCTGCACAGCAAAGCTCTTCAAATCAGATATGCAACACCTGTGAATGCATGTTGTTAAAACAAGGACTGACTGAAGAGGATCATCAGCAACTAATCTACTGCCTCTTCCCACGTGCAGGTTCTTTCACAGACATGGCTATTGGTACTTATACAACTGAGCATCTTCTCAGGTCTTTCACTTGCTCACTATTCCTCAGCCAGCAATGGCCCAGAAGCTACTTACTGATGGTGCAGTTCAGACTGTTTCATGTGGCCTGTCACATTCACCTTGAGCTCAAACCATCTGACACAAGCCTTTACAAGCTAAATAGCTATTTCTTGCCTGGTACATATAACAGAAAACAACAGCTCTGAGACAGACACAGACTTCAATGGACAATTTCCCTAAAAAGTCATCTCCTGACTGAATCAAAAGATCCCAGCATCACTGTAAAAGCTGGTTTCAACACACAGAAATACAGTAGCGATTAAGCATTGTCTAACCAAGGCAACTATTAAAAGCCTGCACGTAGCCCAGTACTCTTTCAAATACACAATCATTACTATGTAAGGGCTGCTGCAAATGTAATGCCTCCTATTTTATGATGTCGGCCCATGATGTCGGAGGCAGATATTGGCATTCTGGCAGTAGAAGTCAAACCTTCCCACCAATATCCCATTCCACGCTGTGGCCATGCGACAGATGGCAGCAGAGGGGCAGTCTGACAAAATGACATCTGACCCGGGAGTGCCTATGGAGCAACGGCGCATCACTGAACTCCTCCACGCATAAAAAATTGGCACCCACTGACATTCATCGGTATCTGCTGAACGTTTTTGGAGGCCAACCAGCGAGTGTGAGCACAGCGAGGCAGTGTGCTTCAGCCATGGCGACAGTGGGTCACCGCCACGTGCGCAGCAATGGAGGCTCTCCTTCATTGCTGGTGAAAATACACAGCTAACTTCAACACAGGTGGGTGCTACGTTGAAAAAGCACTTCTCGTAGCTGAGAATCTGCTCTACCAAATACAGCTACTCTGCCATTTCTGTCTTTGGTTGTTTGCACGGAAATAAACAGGAGGCACTACTTTTGGAGAAACCTACACGTGTAATTTCGTTTTTCAGGAAGGAAGAGCTGGCTGTCAGTAAAATGGCAAAGGATCCAAGGCAGCTCCTGAGGGCAGTGTGACCACGCCGTGCTTCCCGCTGCCCCAGCACACAGAGCTGAGGGCCGCACAGCCGGGCTTTACACAAGGGCTTTTCCCGGGACGAGAAGCAAACCAATTGGTCACGCACCAATTAACCGCGGGGGATACAGCACGCGTGTCGGTGACCTCTCTCCCCCCCTGTCCCGCGGGTAAGGCGCGGAAGGCCCCGCTCGTAGCCCCCTCACCTCAACCCGGGCGGAGGAGCGGGTCCCGGCGGGCAGGGCGCGCTCCAAGGGAAGCCGGGACCCCGGTTGCCTGGGCAACGGCGCGAGGCCGCCGGGAACGCCGCCAGGCACGTGACACACCGCGCGCACGACGCAGCGAGCGCCGAATTACGTCACCCCTCTCGCTCCCACCGCCTATAAATAACCCGCGGCACGGCGCATGCGCGGCGCGGGCGCGGTTCAGGGGTGTGAGTGCGTAAGGGGGGGAGACAGGGGTTGCGATGCTTGTGATGCTCGGGAACGGTGTCAACTGCGACGTCACCGCCGCGGCCACCGTGCCCCGGGCCTCACCTTCTATTTTTATTCCTTTGTTTCAAGTCCCCGCCCCTCCGCAGCGGGAGGACGGGATGACGCCATCTGCTTCCCGGAACGATGACGCGGCCGCGCCGTTGGGGGGAGATGCGGTCGGAATGCTCGCGGGGCTTCGCTGCCTTAAAGGGCCGGCGCCCCCCGGCCCCGCCCCGCGTGCGGGGGGCGGCCCTGACGGACGGGCGCAGCTGGGGGCCGGGAGCGGCGCCGGGGGAGCCCGGCCCGGGGTGCGGCGGCGCGGGCGGCTGCCGGCCGTTTAGCGGTCCCCTCGCGGCCGCGGCGGGGAAGCCGTCGGGACTCACCCGGCACTCGCCCGGCAGGGGGCGGGAGCGGAGCGCCGCGAGCCCCCCCGGCGGGGCGAGGGGATACCGCGGCCCCGCACTGAGGTCAGCCGGCATCCAGGGCGCCGTTAGTCACCTGCGGCATGACCTTCCTCCCGCCCGATTTAGTAACGGCGCGGGGCACGCGCGATGGCTCTTAATAAGCGGGTTCGGGGCTGGTGGGAGCGGGTCCGAGGGAGCGAGCCGCCAGGCGGTGCTGAGGGATGTAGCGCTCGGGGAAACGTAAGTGCGCTTTGAGCTTCTGACAGGGATGCGGACGTGGAGGTGGCTGTGGCGGAATGAGTGCTGCGGGTGCGCTGCCTGTCTGAGGCTTCCCCTGCTTTACTTTAGTGCGCTTTTGCCGTTAGTTTAGCTGGGAGTCTGCTTTTTGTAAGGGGCACCGTGGGTCTGTTGAGGACTGAACTGTTCCGGGAATAACGTATCTGCTCAATGAAAAAAAAAAAAAAAAAAAAAAAAAAAAAAAAAATAATAATAAAAGAGCCTTTCTCTCACACTGAGGTGATATATCTTACTCACACATGCCAGCCTGATGAATATTGATAAGCACGTACTGACCTGTTAGGGAAATACCAGAGTAACCAGCTTCTGTATGGCAGGTAAAAAGTGCCAGAGGTTACAATGTTAGCCCCTGCTGCAGGTCTGTGTCCCCATCCCTGCCTCTGGAACAGCCCTACCCTGAATGTCCCTTCAGCTGCCTGAAGTGAGACAAAGTGCATTGCCACCCCTTTGGGCTTGATGAAGAGCTTCTGCCTTTCCACACTGTGATCCAAAAGAATCACTTGCATTAACTAAGGAAAGAGGTAGAACTAATAGAGCATTAGAGATGGGTGACTGTGAAGTGTAATCTAATTAAGGTGTAAATTTAAATAAACTACAGCAGTTGGTACTAAATCATGAATGTTGAAAGCTGTTTATGCTCAGAAGGTATCAGTGAAGTTTTCCTAAAAAAGCCATTCTTTAAAAATGCCGTACTTTTCATTCTTGCTCTTGTAAATAATCAGACAGCCTATTCTCTTACCGATTTTGTTTCCCTGAATCCAAATTTGGTTGTCACACAGCCTCCTCATGAGTCATTTTCGTCATCTACCATCAGTCATTAAACGAAAGTTGTTTTTCCCGGTGAACCCCCTAACCTACTTCTCCTGTGCTAACAGGACCTTCAGAAACTGGCACTAAGGTGCAGCTCTGATGCAGGCTTTCTGTTTCTCTGTGACTCATCTGACATTAACATAATTATGTTAGAGGAGTCAAAGTGATTTTCAATCTATGAGTAATGTGCAATACTAGAGAGAATGTTTACAAGGCACTGAGGCATATCAGCTAGCTGAAGTAACCAGCTGCTGATAACAGCTGAACTAAGTTGGGGAATTAAAAAGTCTTATAACACAGTGATCCCTCTTTGGAACTCAGTGTTGCACACAGCTGGAAGATAGGTTGTGGGCTGCGAGGAAGAATCCAGAAATGGCACCGTGCTGTAATGGGGCTAAGGCTGAGCCCGTGGGTAGTTCACATGAGAACTCCTCATGGTTTTCATCCCACTTGGATATTTATGGAAAAGTGGTGCTCACATGAAAGCAGTGATCTTTTCAAGAAATGGCTGTATTTACCAGAGTCTGTTTCAAAATGCAAGTGACACACATCCTTTCAGACAGGAAAACAGGATCAAAATGAAACAGCAACAAAAAGTATGAGATCATTGTGCAAGTATTTTGGACCTTGTATACGTGAATAACATGAAAGAAGGAAAACAGTAAGAATAAGGCAAAGCTGGTTGCTGCTACCGTGATGAAATCTTCCTCTCTAAGAAAAATGTGTCTGAAGGCTAGCGATAATGGTATAGAGAATTATGATGAATACATTCTGAGTAAATACTAGGAGAGGTATTTATTCATGAAATGCATAAGCTAGGAGGAAAAAAAAAAAAAAAAAGAAACTGTAAGAATAAATTAAAACGTTAGTGCTTAGTTTCAACAGTTAGGTACCATTTTTAGAACTGACCAGCTTCCTAGTAATTTTGTTAGAATAGCTGGAGGAACAGTTACCATTTCTTTTCCTGCCTGTTTTGGTTTAGTTTTTGGGATGATAGTGGGGTATTTGCTGTTCAGCTAGTTGTTTGTTAAGGCTGGGTATCCTTCAGCCTTAGTCATGTGCCGAGTGTGCGCAGCTTTGCAGGTTTCCTATGGGCTGAGTACACTTACTTCTCCCAGAATTGGCCTGTGAATGTTGAAATCTGATTCTGAAATACCACCAGAAATGAACTAAGAGTCCATAGAGTACTAAAACTGAAAATAGTTAATAACTTTTCTGTACATTGTCACAGTAATACAAGTGGGGAAGAGAGCAAAATGCAGAACTGTTGGTAGGAAGACTATTTTCCAGGAGGCATATTCAAAGGATTCAGGAGAAACTCCCAAATCGCATCCCATATTTTAATTTCACTCAAAACGCTGCCGAGACCAGGCACTAACCATGCACTGATTATCATCGCTGATTTTTAGAGTGAATGAATACCAGAACTGGTCACAAAATAGTTGTACGTGTCTGAAGAAGGCAGGAGGAAGAAAGGGTTGCTAATGGCATCTTGTGCTGACAATGCCACCCAGCCACTTGCCAGAAGAGTTGACCAAGAGTTGGAAGCTTTTGGTTTTCTCTACAGTGGTTTTCATACTGCATGACCTATTGACCATGACCTTCGTTCTGCACCCTCAGCTTCCCTGCTTCTTACTTGCTAGGAGATTTATGGTGTGCTGTGCTCAGGTGGCTTTGAATGGCAGCTGCTACTACAGTGAGCAGCCCGAATGAAGTTAACAGACCTTGATAAAATTACTAAGCAGAAACCAAAGCAAACATACACAAACAGAGCAACCCAAGCCCCATTGACAGAAATAATTTCACATAGCACAACCTAGCAGTCATAAAATGACTCTCCTTTGCTATAAGCTCATGCAGGGTTAAGGTCTTATAACTACAAACATCCACCACCGTAACGTGCTATGCCACCACATGGATCTAATGGCTGGCTTCACGTGTATTTTCACCACTTGTAATTAGCAATATCCCTAGCTACTAAAACTCATGTCTCAGCTCAGATTGCAAAAATGTACTCCATTATTCCCAGAGTGTGTTCATGTGTTACAGTTTTGTGTTTTAATAGGAACTGTTTGCAAAACAGTTCTGGGCTCCATAGCTACTTGGAGCCCCCTGATCACACACTCCTGAAAGCAGTACCTCTGCAGTGCTCTGCATTTCCAGCTTCTGCTTTGCTACCAGCTCCAGAGGAATTTTTTTCTTACCACAGTTTTCAGGGCAGCTGCATGCCGTGCCTCCACCATCTGCCTTTGTCCTTCTTGGAGAAACTAGCATTTATTTGTAATGTTTATTCACCTTTTGGCAGCACCGCAGAACCTGCGCAAATCCCAAGTATTTAACCTTTGTTCTTTATCGAAGCTTTGCAAATTAACTTAAAATAGCAGAGCGAACTAGGCAGTGAGGGGAGTTTGCTGGAAGTAACCGATAAGATCTTGAGAGTACAGCTTGCCCTTACTGGTTGGTTGGGTTTTGTTGTTGTTAGCTTGATTTTTAAACCAAGTTCACATCAAAGTATTCAGACAGTAGTTCAGTATAGAAAATCATTACCATTTTAAAAAGCAAATAAAAGTCAACATTGAGATTGGGTTTGTTTTCTGAATTAGAGAAAAATTAACTCATTTATTTTTGGACTTTCTAGAGTATAGAGATCACATATAGAGGCTCAGTGTTTCCTATAATAAAAGTAACTATCTTGACAGTAATTGATAACGTCTTACCCTGAATTAGTACTGAATTGAATACAGAATGAATGAGGACTGCATACTCACACCAGCAGCAGACAAATAAGATTCCCCATATTCCTGCCCTGGGAGCGCTGCTGTTGGCGTCAGAGCAACACCCCGGCAAAGGAAAACAAGTGTGCTAGGAAATACCTGGGAAATCCTCGGATGAACCGCAAATATTTTTGTTTGCAGTGGCGATAGCTCCCCAGCACTTGTGTCAACAGGCACCGAGTTAGCAAGGACGGTTGTTTCAGCATGGAGCCTGCCAGCCTTCTTGGGTCTGTGGGCTGGAAAGAGTAGAGCTGTTCGGGAGGATCCCAGGCACTGGTGTGGGGCAGGGCAGGGGCTGGAATGCCTCCTTGGAATATATACTGACTGTTCTGCTAAGAGAAGGGAAAACAGAGTTTTCCTACTTTTTCCTTCCTTTAACACTCTCCATGGATTTCTTCCTCTCTCCATGGGGTTGTGTATCTCCACATGAACCTTAGCAGTTGTTATACTCCAGAAAGACTGCAGGGGGGCTTTACTACTGCCTGAATTTGGCAAAGCCTTGGAGCAGGAATGGTTTCCATAGGATGTAGAGGCGCAGCACATAGGCTCAGTGACAGAAAATAGATGCTAATTCTTTGAGGAGATCCCTGATTTCCCTTTTCCTGTATGACTGCTGGGAAAGCCAAGCCTCTAACAGGATGTTTAGAATTACAATTATGAAAACATTTCTGAGAGATATATAAGTGAGTATAAGTATTTGCTAGATACAAATTCATTTTTATGATCTGTTTCTTAGGATTTATCTTTAAAAACTCGTATCAATTTTAATGCTGAAAAATGAGACATCAATTTTTCTGCTGTGTTAAAGCCCTGACCTGCTGGCACCTACGCCTGTGCTGAAATTTAAATGCACGAGTAGTACTGGACCCACTGTGATTACTTGCACAATTAAAATTAAGCATGCGTAAAAGTGTCTCAAGGTCAAGATGTTCAATTTCTTTCCCTAGTGCAGAGTTTAAAAAGAAAAAACAGAATTAGTAACCACATATTCACATAAGAAAATGGCAATTATGTTTAATTTAAATACTTACGTGGTGGTTGTTTGATAGGCAAAGTATTGAATAAAACACGTGTGTATCAGATTGAATGGAATGAAACACTCTCCCCAAGAAGCTGTGCTTCCTGGTAGGAAGGAGGAATCCTTACAAGTATAAGCTGGAAAGAATGCTGCACCAAGACGATCCCGTTGTTGTCTTAGAATAAGGTGGCAGAAGATAGGATTTTTTTCACATGTTCATTTCATTTTTCTATAAATATAAGCTTGATATTTGAAAAAAAAAAATTAAAATACTGTATGTTACTTTGGATTGGAAACATGCTTTGTGTATACAAGATTTACTAAACTCTGCTAAATCACTC